GGAGGAGGAGGAGGACGAGAAACAGGAGGACGAGGAGGAAGAAGGACGGGGTGTCATACCCCAACCACGTCCCGCCAGGTCGGCGACGCGGAGCGGGCTATGTCGGTCTTCCGCCAGATGCAAGCTCAAGGCTATTGGACCGTAGCTCCTGGGCTCCTCCCCTCCATTCCTCCCGCCCGCCGTCTCCCTCCCACGCGTCTGCACCCTCTCCCTCTCCCTCTGCCTCCCTCTCCCTCTCCCTCTGCCTCCCTCTCCCTCTCTCTCCCTCTCTCTCTCTCTCCCTCTCCCTCTCTCTTTCTCTTCTCTCTTTCTCTTTCTCTCTCTCTCTCGCCTCTGTTCTCTCTCTCTCTCTCTCGATCCTCTCTCTGTGTTTTGTTTTCTCTTTCTCTCTTGCAGTCTTCGCTCTCTCTCTTTCTCTCTCCTCCTCCCTTTCTCTCTTTCTCTGTCCCACCTCCCTCTCCCTCTCTCTCGTGCTCTCTCTCTCTCTCTTCCTCTCTCTGGGGGGGGGTCCTGGGCTGTCGTAGGGCTGGCTGTCCTGGGTTGATTTTCGGTGTTGACGTTATTGTCACAGGACCGCTTGGGGAGTCATTTGTAGGGCATGGGGAGTGTCTTCAGGTCATCGGTGGTTTATTGCGGCCTTTTCTTCGAGTCTCTGAAGTCGTTTAAGTATTTGGTTATCCTGGGGACTTCGGCACAGCGTGTTGGAAACGGATTCAGCCCCTTCGGAGGCCTCCTGGGGGCACTTCTCCTGTGCTCTCCAGTAGTCTGTGCGCCTTTGGGGTGGGCGTGTCGTGTTCTTAGTGTCTTGAGAGTGCCGGTCGTCTTGTCTTGTCAGTGGAGGTCGTTGGGCCGTTTGGAGACGGTCAGGTCTTCGGCCGTCTTGGGGTCAGCTTGGGACTTGCATTGGGGCTCCGGGTGGCTGTCCAGAGTTGTGATGGCCAATGGGGCGTAAGTAAAGCACTTCTTCTCTTAGAGGTGAGAGGACACTGAGAGTTGGCGCACTGAGTGATTGCTTCTTGGCCTCCGTGTTGTAGGGGGCACAGGCGGCTGCCTCGCATGGGGCCGTGTCCTGTAACAGTGCAGTGGTGGATATGGTCCACAGAGAGAGGGCGGAGGGATGGGTGAGTACAGTGGAGGGCGGATGGAAGCAGGTGGGGGGAGACGGGTGAAGAGTGAGGGTGAGGATGAGGCCGGACGGGGAGAAGGGCATACGGGAAAAGGGGCCTACTTCGAGGGGGGGAGGATTGAAAGCGGGCTGAGGGAGGAGGGAATAGGAGGAAAAGGATGATGATGATGATGATGATGATGATGATGATGATGATGATGATGATGATGATGATGATGATGATGATGATGATGATGAGGATGAGGATGAGGATGAGGATGAGGATGAGGAAGAAGGATGATGTTGCTGATGATGATGATGATGATGAGGATGAGGATGATGATGATGAGGAGGAGGAGGTGGGTTATAGTATACTGTCGCTACTGGGTGGGAAGGATGAGCTTGTGCATAGGTCAGATGGATGTCGTTACCGACGCCGTTTGGCTCAAGTGACCAAGAGGTTCACAGTCCGTTGCCTTACAACAAATGTCATCGATCCGTTCGCGTGTAAACTCTCCTCGGGAATTCGCATGGTAGCGGAACGAGGTCGATGGCGGCAGCAGCGGCAGCTCCCGCACATCCAGGCGACCCGCTCCCTGAGTTAAACACGCCCCAGGGCCGTGTTCAGTTGTTCAGCTTGAACCCAACGAACTTCAGCGAGTTCTGTGAAGCACCTTGCTTTGGAGGGGACTACTGTTGTGTGGAAGTAGCCCAAAGAGCCAGTCCTGAGGGAAACAGGGAATTGATGGAATGACAGACGACAGCAGGAGTCAAAGTGTTACACGTAAGGAGAACGATGGACTGTCACTCATGGCTCAGTCAATCAACTGACTATTATCCAGCATCGTCTACCGCAACATGTACGCAGAGGGAGAATCCAAGAAACCGCAGTTGATAATCGAGAACTTAGAAGACCAAACTGACCAAACGGACGTACAAAACACACGATGGACCAGGTTACCAACATAGTGAAACCAGTTGCGGAACGTAAAATGGACAGGGGGAAGACAGACACCGGTTAACGAACAGAGGCTGCGCAGCAGCTTAAAACGTTCGCGGGAGACAGAAACATTTTTCGCGAGTGTAGCGAAAAGCTGGTCAACGCACTGGCTCAGGGTAATCTCCACTATCGAAAAGCGCTGCACAGTTTAGGAAACAATCCTGAAACGATGGGCGGCACGTCGCACGATGAAGACGATGATGACGCGGTCAGGATCTGCAATGGGAGGTAAACGGTCGCGGAATACACGAAAACCAATCTGGCCAAACAAGAGGCGGACGACAGCAAAGGAGAACTTGAAACAAGCGAAGATATGGTACACAAACTAGACAAAGACATGTGGCACATATTAGATGACAAGTTCGATGGGGTGGGCACCAGAGGGAAATTGAGGGGTCTCCGCGAGGGTGAGCAACTGCAGGCGTAGGCGTATGAAAATTATTCAAGTAGTGTGCCGCATTTACTGGCCATGCCCTGTGTGCCAAAAAGAGCTTGGCCATGAGGCCCGACAAACCGCATGAAAATGAACTTGTGGACAGCACTGGTGGACACCCGAGAAGAAGCTGTCCAACATGCTCGTTGCACGTGCTTTTCTGAGTCGCAGCTCTGAGATCCATCATGCCGCATGATGGCGCGTGGTTTGAGGTTCGGCACCAGTTGTGCCTCGTGGCTCCCCGTTCCTTGGCGCCGGGATCACTGGCGCTGGCAAGCGACCAGAAGCTGCATGAGAAGTGCGAGGGTTGAGCGCGCAAGAAAAGGTTAGGCGCGGGCGCCCGGAAACGCGCGGCGCCATGGGCGTCGCGGGGGCGAGCGGGGCCAATGAGGGGCAGGTTGACACTTGGGATGCGCGCGAGGGTTGGAACGTGGGAGGGTCCATTGACGCGGGCGGTCAGTGGCTGGCAGTTGGTGCCAGTTGGGGCCGATGCGAGGAGACTGGCGGAGGCGAAAGTATGGGCGCCGCCAACAGGGGCAAGGGACAATAAGGAAAGGTGCCCGCATGTTACAAGAGCGGTTGCGTAGAGCAACTCGCCGCGAGTTGCCGGGAAGGAGGGGGGCATGACATAGAAGGTGAAGGTGGGCGCAGTGGAGGGGCGAGGACACGCGGGCTTTGCGTCGACGGGGGCAGTCAGGGACGATGGGGATCGCCTCGGTAGTGACGGTGGCAGAAGGCGAAGGGGGCGGAGTCGAGGGGTTTTGGGAGCGCGCGGCGTCGCGCGGCCCCCGAACGCGGGGGGTTGCTTTCCGGCGACGCCCGCGTAGGCGTCGTGATCAGGCGAGCGTTGTAGTGCAGCCAACAACGGGGCGGTTATCATAAATTGCCGACGTGGGGTCGTAGTGGGGGGCGACGAACGAGGGGCTCGAGTGAGTATTCCCATGCAAGTGGCAGACGTTAAAGGTGTTCGGCTCTGCCAGGGAGATGGTCGAGGCGGGGGGCCGAGTCGCGCTCGGTCGCGATGCGAAGGGGCGCCTCTGCAGACGCGTGCAGCGCAAGGCATCAGGGCAGCGAGCGGTGGTCCACGGCGAGGCTGCGCGTTCCTGTTCGATCTTCGCATGCCGCCGAACCAGCGCCAAACGCGCCCCCTCCCCGACGTTGGTCGGGCCCAGGGGGGCCGCTGGCCACAGAGGGCGCGCTCTTGTCGCGCGCGGGCCCTGCTCGCGCGGCCGATGCCACTTCGCGCGCTCTAAGGCGCGCAATGCTGAATTGCGCCCCTATGCGTGCGATGGATTCACCTATGCAGGGTGGGGGCGTCAGATGAGGAGCGATCCTGGGTGCGTCGCGCGCGGAATCGCCGCGTCGGGCTGCGCCCCCGCCCCTCGCCCGACGAACTCGTCGGCTCGCCCCCCCCCCCCCGCTGGGCGACCTCTCGAGCGTCGGATATCCGTGAGATGTCGCGGCAGTCTTCGGGGTGGATGCCTGATCTTCGAGAGGCCCTTCGAAATTCGCACGCCCGGCAACGCGCCCGTGACGTCGCCGACTGGCGCGCCGTGGGGGGGTCTCTGCGGGAAGACGTCGGCGTTCAAATCCTCTTTCCGTCAGTCCCGCCCCTGAATCCAGCGGCGCGCCCCAGGGCGCGGCTCTCCCGCGCGCGTCGGCGAGCCCGTTCGTCGAGCCGCTGGTGCGCGCGCAATGCGCGCGCATCTAGTTCGCGTGGCGCCGCGTAGTGCATCGACGTCGCGCGCGACGTCCAGCGCGCGCTGGCGAGCCGCTCGTGCTGCCGGCCCCAGTCGTGAGCGCGCGCCTTCGGCAGGGCGAACGGCGATCTGAAATGTTGGGGTATGTTTTTCCCCTGTCACTGCCCGCGGGGTCGCGGAGTCAAGGCCTTGGAGAGAAATGGGGGCAAGTAGCGGATGAGGTGAGTTTTCCGAGGCGGGATTCCCGCCGGAGGCCATGTTCCAATGCGTCCGCCGAAGCCTGTGAGGTCCACGCAAGCATTCGTTATCTTAGGGGTAGATGATGAGGGGGGTGAAGGGGGTGGGGGCGCTGAGTTAAGTGGATGATGTGTTCGTAAGTGTGGGGGCTAATTGGAATTCACGACGCCGCGCGTCGTCGTCATCGAAGTTGGCGCCCCCAGTATGTTCGAGAGAGAGCTCGGAAAGTAAGGCGACCCAAGGCAGACGGGGGGCCGATTTCCGGGTGGCAAGTCATCGGCGCGGGCAACGCGTGGTTAAAGGGGGTGAAAGGTGAGAGAGATGAAGAGGGCGAAGTGTATACCATCTTCGCGATGCATTGCAGAGGACCCATTTACAGCAAGGTAGTATTCAAACATTGACCCAGTCCGCAATCGGTGGATGTGAGAACATGCCTCATTGCGTGTGCTTAGAAGCGACGGCGGGCTCGCGATCGCATCGCGTAAGTACACAGATGAGAATGCGTGCGGCTTGCGCGCGGGGTCGAGGTTCGCTCCGCTGTAGATTCGCAGGCCTATGACGATATCGAGAGGGCTACTAGTATGATGCACTACCAAATCTTAGTAGTGAACAGTGCGTTAGACGATATGCGCAACATAGACTTGATCATCGGCATTTCGCGTCTGGACTTTACGCGATGTGCCGCGCATTTCGGAACTCACAAACAAAAATAAACGCTGGGGAGAAAACGAGAGTGGATGGGGGTGTGGTCTTTTCATGGGATTCGACGAAGTCAACCGAGAAATCATCGTCCGCGCGCTTGCCGAACGCGCGTCGTCGAGCGGTGAAATCAGAAGAGCGCCCCAAACGTTCAGGAGAGGCTTGTCTCCGATCAGCGCCGACAGGAACCGCCAACCAACGAATGGGGCAAGCTTCGGACATGACAGGGGAGCGCGTGTTCTCGAGCTCATTGACGCGTGGGCTTGGGCCACGCGGCGGTCTGGAATTCCAGTGACATGCGCGTGCGTTCCCAGTCGGTGGTGTCCGCCGACTAGCATCGAGGGGCGGGAGGCAAGAGTGGGTGGCGCGCGGGTGAGTCTCGCACTTGTAACAGAACTTAGAGAGATCATAACAATTCGCAGCAAGTGGAAGAACAAGCGTTGGGAGATGGAGCGACAGGTGGGGCGAATTTGATTGGGGGTGGCAGAACTAACCGATGGAGATTTGCCTCCAGACCCAGGTGCAGCGTCATGGGCGTCGCCGGCGGTTAAGAGGAGGCAAGAGAATCTGGCGGGGGAATTGATCCAGAAGACCTACCGTCGAGAAGCGATGGCGCTGGAGTCGGACAACGAGGTTGTCGGAGGTATCCGGCGGGGTTTACAGTTAATGGGCGTTATTGAAAATCTCTGCGGTTGGCCAGTAAATCAGAAGGCCCAAGTAAGGTGTTGCAGTGGGAAGGGCGGCCAGGTTGCATGGGGGGCCAAAGGGAAGCGCGGGCGCGCGCGGCTGAAGCAGACATTCCTGTTCGCGTAACTGTAATGGCAGGCGCAAGTGGGATTGGTGCCCGGGTCGGTCACGGATCTGGCTACGCGCGACGAGCGCGGCAAACCGAGGGACTTAAACGGCGAGGCCATGGCAGAGGCAGCTTAACAGACAGGTATATGGAAGGCAGCATTCTTATCAGAGTCACATGCGTTTGGCTTCCAGTAGGCTACAAGCGTTCGGCTTTGAAGCTTGGAGACGACAGGATCGGGGAAATTCTTGACCGTGGCGTGGCAAACACCTCGGCTTCTCACTCGAGCTATGTGAAGTTAACAGGGCAAATGTGTTACACGTTCTGTTTGCACACCCTGCAGGGGCACCGGGTTGGCGCGCCAGCTCCGTCAAGGGAGTGCCTGGGCATCCCGCTTGTAGCGCGCGCGAAGGGGGCGCGTGCCAGCTGGGTGGGGTGGGGGGGCGAGAGAGCTGAGGTGCACCTAGATATCTCATGCCCCGCAAAGCTCGCCGTGTCTGTCAGACGAATGAGAGGTGGCGATAGAGCGGGGTGCCCATATAAGGCCGAGGAAGCAGGTTTGTCATCCGAAGCTAGAGATACCAGCATCGGGGAAATCAGAGATATCAGCCAAACAGAACCAGGATGAGTTATGTGACTAGAGCGGATCACGAGAGACTGTGATGCGCAGAGGTTGATGCTGCCAGGGGCCCAAGGGCCCATCTGGTGCAAGTGTTCTCGTCGCTTTGCGACTGATCTCAACTCTGTTCAAGGTGCGGAGGAATGGCCAGTGCGCGACATTTGGTGAGAATGAAGAGGAAGATAATTCAAAGGGGGCCCAAGAGGCATCGCGGCCATGTTCGGGTGCCAGCCGGTGGGGGGCGCGCGACCGCGCAGATGGGGGCGCGCCAATTGCAACTGCCAAGCTTGATTGCGCGCGCCAGGGACTTGCGAGACATGCGACGAAATTGTGGGCATAACGCCGGTTGAACGCAGAGATGCACCCGCTGTTTATCATCGAGACGACGGAGAGAAGTGCGTGAGAAAGTAAGGGCGGATGTATGTTGGGAAGGTGCTGGTAGAGGGCCTATTGGCGCCATGTGGATGCATGTCAATAATGGAGATGACAGAACTCCAGAGCGCAGAACCAGACTTGTAGCTCAGTAAATTGTTGACCTCCAAGAAACCAGATTTGCAGCCATTTCGCCACTGAAGGCGCAGGAGTCATCGTCCTCCATGGCCGTGGTGGAAGGAAGCGGATATGAAAGAGGTTAGGGGTAACATAGGATGAAGTCAGGATTCGCCGCGAGAAGAAACCAAATTTCAACGTAAAAGTGCAGCGTGCATATTTGTTAATGTTCCGGGCGAGGGCCATGAACTGGGCGCGTGCGGGCGACTTCTGAAGTGAATTTGCGGAGCCGGAGATGCCGCTGGCAGTTCGGGGGATTGTTGCGTGGTGGGGCTTCCCGGACATATCGGGCTTCGATAGTGCTGTAGCTTTGCGGCCATGTGCACTCAGGCACAACGCCAGACATATGTGGCGCACAATCAGTGAGGGTGATTCTCGCGCCGTTAGGAAGCGATGCGGTGTAGATCGGCTTGAATGAATGCGGGACAGAGAAAAACTTCGAAGTCAAAGCAAGGGGGAGGTTAGGTCTAGGGGTCATGCGCGAAAAGAGCCAGTCTTTGCGAATGTCTGAGGCTAACTGAATGGATCCCAGAGGGTTTTTTCGTGAAGCTGACCAGAGATGTGGGGACATACTGACAGTAGAACTGGCACTGGAAAGCGCCGAAGTCAAATCGTGAATTCTTGGTGACAAGATGGCTGTCAACGAAAATTATGAAAAAGGTGGGGGGGGGTATCTCAGCAGGGCGCGAAGAAAACCAAGCCGCAGGGGCTCGGGCCATTTTACTTGGCACAGGGTAGGTCCGACATGCAGTGTGCAGTCAAAGGGTTGGTCGGGAATGTGGCAAAACCCGCTTTTGGAGCCGGGGAAATATTTGATGCTTGGGAGCGATCTCAAGAACCAGGGCGCGTACAGTTACTTGTGGGCGTGTCAAATGCCAACCCAGGAACGAGTGATATGGGCGGATGCAGATCATTCCGGGTGCAGGAGGAGTCGTGAATCATCCAGTGGCGGAGTAGTGATGTGGGGTGAACGGTTCGCAGGCTGGGGCTCCGTGCCAAGCGTTGTGGCTCCATCATCTGAGTGGGGCGGACTGCGATGGGGCGGTTGAAGGAGGATCAGTGGGTTAGATTTCAGGCAGGGCTCAGGGGCTGGCATCGCTGCTCAGATGGTTACCGAGAGCGATGCGATTGCAGCGACCGCCGTGGCCAGCGGGAGGGGATTGGGACAAGTCAGGCATATTTAAATTGGCAGTTGATGGGCCCAGGAGAAGGTGAGGAGATGGGCTATCCACGTAACAAGGGTCGGCGCTGATGACGATGGCCGACGCATTTACTAAGTATGTGTATAGTGATGCGCTCAGGAAACGCATGCGCGCCGCGATCCAAATTGCTTCGCATCGAAGGCGTGTGATAGCGCCCCCTAGTGAGCGCGACCGCGTCGCAGATCTTCCCGAGTTATTCGGTTGCAGCCCGATCTTTTCTTTCCCAAATCTGAAGCGCCTTTGCCAGTTACGGCGACATGCGTCATGGCGGCGAGTTGGGACCAGCAGGGGCCCGTCAGTTCGACGCCGCCAGGCGTTTGCGACCCGGGGGCGCGTTCGCGGAGCCGCCCGCCCAGCGGTGCCAGCGCTGGCGGCGGGGGCGGGTTTGCCAGTGGTTCAGGCGGGGGCGGGTTGGCCGCCCCGCCATTCGGGGCAGCTAGACCCCGGCGCGCCCCCCCACTCCGATGGCGTTGGCTACGGCCAACGATGTTGCCGTCACTGGCGAGTGCCGTGAGCCTCAGTTACGCGCCAGCGATGAGCTGCGCGGCCCTAACTCCACTCTGGCCCCCGAGCGTTGCCGCTGTTAAACTTGGGCCGCGTGCGACTTTTGGGGCAGCATCCAGGATTGCTGGAAAAATGATAACCGCGCGCGCGAGCTAAGAGAACCCACGGGGCAAGTAAGCACTCGTGGAGAGTGTTTGGTGTTCCGATCCTGTTGCGCGTTCCGTTGCGGGGGCGCTGACAAGACGTCGCCGTTGCCGCATTCGGAAGGGCCGCCCGCGCTGCGGGGCGAGTCAGCCTGTCACTGCGGCGCCCCATGACGCGCGGGTCATGCAGGTTAGCCGCGTCCAGCCCGAGATGCCCGAATGCCACCAATCACCGTGGAGCCTGGGGGATCTGAGACCGTCGTTCACCGCGCTCGAGTACAGTGGTTACCACAACGACCCTCGTCAGAACGTTCCCACACGCATATCCTCATCCGGACTGCTCCTGAGATGCAAGATGATGAGTCGTCGACATGTTTGGTGCCACGTTTGGAATGTTGTGGTCGGATAGCCCGATGTTCCTCGCGGTTCGAGTTATTTACGAAGAGTCGCACACCAACCGCGGTGATACCAGCGCGGGTATTGTTACCAGGCGATGTTCGACCCAAGATGTTGCTGAATCCTCTTCTCAATTGGCGGGCGGGTTCGTGGCATGACGAAAAGTATGGTGCCTTCGAGCAGGTCAATGCAGATCAGCCCCGAGCTCCGCGCTCGTGCTAGTACCGCGCGCAGCTCAGTGTCGAGCTATCGCGTACCAGTCGTGCAGTTGGTATTCGTTCGGGTGCCTTACCGTTGGGCAATTCAGGAGTTCGTCGCCGCAGAAAAACGAGGAGAGACACCGTTTGCTGTCAGGCATGACCATCTGCGTTCGACTAGTGATAATCATAATTTGTGGATTACTATTAATGATCAATTATTCATGATAGTCATTACACGTAACACTACTAATATTGCGAATCATACTACGAATCGTAATATCAGTACTAATAATAATCATGATAAGAGAAATAGTAGTAAGGCACATAAGAACATACTACCATCATAAGAACAATATGATATTACGAGACGGACAAGAAACAATAGTAATACGAAGAGTAATGTTCGGCGCCTTCCGGGCGCAGGCATCAAGTCGCACATCGTTGTGTACGCGGCCTTGGCGCGGCCCTTCGCCTACCGCGGCGAGTGGACCGAAGTGGAACGCATCCGGGAGGACGGCCCCCCGTCGTGCGCGCGGGCGCAAGGGCGCCGGGCCCCGAAGAGGAAAGGGGGGCCAGCGACCTGCCGCTTCTCGGATGAGGCCCTTCTCGCCACCTCCTCGCCGTCTCTGCTTCGAGGGACGAGGGAGCAGCACGTGACATCAACGGGGAATCAACGGGGTTCTCTCTTCAAGGTCGCCGCCACTGGCGTGAGCCAGGCCAGTTCCGAAGGCGTGGTCCGTCCTCCGTCCCGTTTCTGTGGGGGTTCGGAGGGCTCTGGTGGGCTTCGGAAGTTTTTCGGGGGTCGGTATCCCCCATCAAGCAACCAGAGCTCGACGGGGGCCTCAACATGGCGGTGCCGATTCGCCGATTGGCTTTCTGCGGTGGGCCACATGATGGCTCAGGAGATCATGCGAATCATGGTCCCAGGATTGTCTTGGGCACGGTGGGTGCTGGCACCTACCTGTCTGCATAGCTGTGTGTGTGTGCATGCGCGTATAGATTCGCAATGGATCTACTATAATGATAGAGCAGCCAATTCGATGCAACGCGCAGCATTTCAAGACAACGCAAGGGAGTGCGCGTCAGTTCAGACCAGTTCGACTCAGCACAAGTTAATGCAACCGACGCAGAGCAAACCGAGCAATGCAAAACACATCAACGGATCGCGATACAGAGTGACGCAACGCATCGCAACACAACGGAATGCAGCGCAACGTAAAACATCGGAATGCAGCGCAACGCAAAACAACGCAACACATGAGACACAACCTGTGGCGCAACCCATCGGCACATCCGGTGACGAACTTTATAGTCTTGCCGAAACATCTGCGCCACGTGGGTCCTAGCTAGTGACAGACGAAGCACAACAATACCATTCAATGAATCCTGGGGGAATGCATCTCTGAAGCGTTGCGTCCTCAGCCGCTGACCCCCGTGCCGAGCAATTTTTGGGGTTGCCTTGGGGTTGTCTTGGCGTTCAGTTGGGCCATCTCGGGAACACTGTGGGCCCATTTTGGGGACTTCGGCAACATTTTCGGGCCATCTTTCGGACTAGAACGCTTGTTAATGATCGTGGACAAAACAACTAGTAATTCAGGTGGCTTATGCCATTCGCCGACCCCGGGGAGGCCTGCTGCCTCTTGGAAAGTGTTTGAGATGCCCATTGGGGTATCTTTTCTTTTGGACCTCTTGGGTGCCTCTTGGAGCCTCTTTGGAGTCTGTTGAGGGCCTGCTGGCGGTCTCGGGAGTCCTCCTGGGGCGGAGGGCTCGGAATGTCAGTTCGGGGGCCGGAGTAGTGAGGGGCCAGCGGGGGTGGCGGGCGCAAATTCGAAGGCGGTGGCAGGCTCCCCCTGTCCTCCCTCCGCCGCTCGTCCTCTTCCTCCAGTTCCACCTCCTCTGTCTCCTCGTCGTCGTCGTCGTCGTCCTCCTCCTCCTCCTCCTCCTCCTCCTCCTCCACCGTGGTCTCCTCCTCCCCCCCTCCTGACAAACTCATCGTCTCGTTTTCCTCGATCTCCTCCTGCCCCTCCCTGCTGCTGCCATTACTTCGTCCTGCGCAGCTGGAAACGGCTGTCGCCGCCGCTGCGCGTGGGCCTGAGCGCGCCAAGCGGGCCGCTCAGAATGGCGCGGACGAGAATTGGGAACCCGAGTCCACCAAGTCGGGGGCGGCATGGCGCAGGCTTTCAGCCAAACTCGACGGGCTCGGGGGGGCCCAGCCATGTTCCCGGCGCGGGCAACGCCGAGCCCCGCTGCAACGCAGGACATTTTTTTTTTTTTTTTCGTCGACCTGGTGCCTGGTGTGTCTGGTGTGCCTGGTGTGCCTGGTCGGTGTGCCTGGCGTGCCTGGTCGGCGTGCCTGGTATGCCTCGTCTTCGCGTCTGGTGTGCCTGGGCAGTTTGCTTGGTGTGCCTCGTGTGCCTTGTCGGTGGTCCTGGTGTGCTTGGTCCATGTGCTTGGTGTGGCTGATCGGTGTGCCTGGTGTGTTTGGTGTGCGTGGTCGGTGTGTTCGATGTGCCTGGTCGGTGTGCTTGGTGTGTTTAGTAGGTGCGCCAGGTGTGCCTGGTCGGGGTTCCTGATGTGTGTTTGGGCGGCGTGCCTGGTGTGCCTGGTCGGTGTGGTCGTTGTGCATGTTGTGTCTGGTCGGTGTGCGTGGCGTGCCTGATCGGTGTGCCTGGTGTGTCTGGTCGGTGTGCCTGGTGTGCCTGGTCTGTCTTCTCCATTCCGTCGTCACACTCATCACCACTCATCCCATCACCGTCACCCATCCCATCACTACCACCATCCGTCGTCAATGGGCCGCCTCGAGTATCATCTCCAAGCCCCACCACCATCGTCATATCATCACCCCCGCCATCCATTTCATCGTCACCATCACCCACCCCATGATCACCATCACCCATCGTTCTCGTCATCATATTCATCCATCTCCTCATCGTGGATTTTCGAGGGTTCTCAGATCTGCAGGAATGCAAGTTTCGGGAATTGTCCGCGGAACGTTCGAACATGTTGCTGCTTCGGGTGCTGCCTCCAATGGCATGAGGAACGCGTGCGTCTGAGCCCATTCGGTTTCGGAGTGGGCTCGGGATCGAGCCCGTTCGACCGCCGATCGGTCATCATCCCAACCAGTGCCCTGACCCTGTTCGGTGGGCCACTCGGCGGCCGAGCGAGCTCAGACGCCGAATGGGCCCAGAAGCACCTCAGGGTCGAGACGACCTGGCCCGCGGGCGCGCGGTGTTTTGGGTCGGACGATTGGGGGGGCTACGGTCGGGACTTTTTAGATAGCGTGCCGTTCCGCCAGTGCTGGCCCGCCGCTCTGTGGAGCGACACGCTATCCACGCTGTCGGTCCTTGGGCGTATGCGCCCCGAGCTTTGTCGAAGGCTCCCGGCCAGCGGAACGGTGCGAAACGCCATCCGGTCGCAAGGCGCAGCGTGTCGCCCGGGCCCGAGATTCCCGACCGTGGAGACCTGGGGGTGCGAAGTGTGCCGCGTGCAGCTGGTTTCGGCTCCGCCGCCGAGCCCTCGATACACTGGTGCTTCCGGCGCGGGGGGGCGTCTGGAAGATCGAGTTGATCCGCTACCCCTCCCTTTACTCCCCACCCACCAAACCACCCCAACCCAACCTGAAGGCTCAGATTTGCCCTCCATTTCCAGTGGGGGGGGTCCGGGAACATCGAAAAAACAGTTATGGAACCCATACCCCCCCCAACCCGAAATTCGGGTCTTCGGGTTGGGTTGGGGTGGTCTGGTAGGTAGTCAGTCTGGAAGATCGAGTTGATCTGCTACCCCTCCCTTTACTGCCCTTCGTTTTTTGCCCGACCTTCAGCATCGTCCAACCCATCCCCATCCCCAGTGGGCCATGGTATCTCAGCCCCACCACTCCTCCCCCCTAGGTGGGGATAGGCTCCGCGAGGCCCCCAACATTTTTTCCTATTATATATATATATATATATATATATTGTTTTTCCCCTTTTTTCCGACGGAGGCTAGGGAGCGCTAGGCACATCTCCCCTTCTAGGTGGTCAGCTCGGTCCGTGGGGCCCAGGGCACGCCAGTGGGGATTGGCATCGGTCGAGCGATGCCCAGGCCCCAGTGGCAGCGCCCGCCCGCCTCGCGGCGCCCGCTGGGACGACATCGGCCGCTGCGCCGGCGCGCGCGCGCGCCGGCAGGAGATGGAGGGCGAGGGCATCGCCGTGTCGCTCCGCCGGGCGGCCGGCGGTCGCTCTCCTGGTTCAAGCAGTGGCGAAGCGTCCCGGCGTGCCTATAGCCATACCAAACAATGTTCTAAGAACCTGTTGCGGTTTCCACGAATTGTTCTTAGAACATTTCTTGCTGGGACTGTCTTGTCTGAACACATCGGGTTCTAAGAACATTTCGTGGTAGGACTACAGGAATGCCAGGACGGTCGATATCTGCTCAACTGGTCTTCTGCCCTGTTTGCTCCTGGTCTCTAGCACCTTCTCTCCATCGCTTCTCACCTCCCTCATCCAACACCTCCTCTCCAGCACCTCCTCTCTCCATCACCCGATCTTCTGCTCCGTCTGCTCCTGCTCTTGCTCCCCGTCCCTGCCCCTCCTCTCCGACACCTTCCTCCTCCTCTGCGAATCCGTGCCGAGCCCTTCGGACCTCCCGAGGATTGTGCTAAAGCATATCGGCGCGGGCGCGCGGGCGCCGTGGTTTGGGGGCCTGGACCCGACGCCAGAAACGACAACGACGAAGGCGAGGGCACCACGCGGCACGATCGGAGTGGTGACGGTCTCCCCGTCGGGGCCCGCAGGTGGCCTCTTGGAGGATGGGGGCGCTCTTGCGGCGCTCTTCAGCGCTCTCGGGGCCGTCTTGGAGCCCTCGTGGGCCCTTCTTGCGGCTCTCTTGGGTCATCCTGGAGCCATCTTGAGGCTCCAGGCAGACATCGGACACGCAACGGCGAGACGGCAAGGCACCCGAATCTCAGCATCGGCAGGGGCCGCCGTCGACGATCATCGTGAACCAGTGCAGACGCTGGCCAGGTGCGCGACGCCCGCGAGGTGGGTCGCGCGTGCCAGGGTGCTCCCACCACCCCTGTCAGATGACATTCCAAAGTGATTGGTCGATGCCCGCGTGTGATCGAGATGTTGCCGCAACTGATATTTCATCGCTTCGCTCATGCCGCCGGCCCTGGAGTGCTATTTGGGGCCTCTTGGGGCCGGCTTCTTGGGGGCTTCTTGTGAGCGTCTTGGGGCTCCTTGGCGGCGTATTGGGCTCCCCTGGGGCCTCTTGGGGGGCTCTTGGGGGCCCCTTGGGGCGGGAGGGGGGGTAGTCGTTGGCAGACCCCCCCTCGGAGGCCACGATCCTCTTGAGGGGTGGCGAAAAACAGCCTCCCCCCTGGGGATCGCCCGGGGGTCAGCCGGGGATCGGCTGGGGTACTTTTCGTCTGGGGCCCCCCAGGGGCCGCCCCGCGCGCGCGAACTAGAAATATTGTTAAGAAGTTACCGGAGATCTTAGCACGCCTCTGGCCCGTTGGGCCAGCGTTTTTTTTTTTTTTTTTTTTTTTTTTTTTTTTTTGTTGTTTTTGTTGTTGTTGTTGTTGTCGTCGTCGTCGTCGTCGTCGTCGTCGTCGTCGTCGTCGTTGATGTTGTTGTTGTTGTTGTTGTTGTTGTTGTTGTTGTTGTTGTTGTTGTTGTTGCTGTTGTTGTTGTTTTTGCTGCTGTTGTTGTTGTTGTTGTTGCTGTTGCTGTTGCTGTTGCTGTTGTTGTTGTTGTTGTTGTTGTTGTTGTTGTTGTTGTTGTTGTTGTTGTTGTTGTTGTTGTTGTTGTTGTTGTTGTTGTTGTGTGTGTGTGCCAGGGATAATGGGCCTGCGCGCCGCAGGCCGCATGTCGGCACTCCCCTCGTTTTTCTCAAGAAGCAATGCGGCGATTGTTTCTGTGACAGGGAGGTTGGGTTAAGTCGGGCCTGTCCCTCTACAGGAGGAATCTTCAAAAATAGTCAAACAATAGCCTGGAGACGATGTTTTAAATCTTTGGATACAATGTTTGACTATGTTTTAGTTTTGCCCAAACTCCCCCTGCAGGGGGACAGGCCCGACTGAAAGGTTGGGGGGCCCCGCCCTGGTTCCGGGCTTGCCGCCGGTCAGGTGTCGGGTGTTACTAGAAGTGCCCCTGGCCCAAGGTGCCCCCAGGATTTCCAAGGAGGCCCCCACGGCCTCCAGAGCACCCCTCACGAGGCCCAGAAGGCCCAGGGGCTCCAAAATTGAGCGAAAAGCTAGGGGTACCTTGGGCCAGGGGCACCTTTAGCAACCCCCGAAGGTGATGGAGGGGGTGTATGCGAATGCGGTGCAGTGGTGCAACCCGTCTCCGAAGGGGAAGAAAGGGGTTCGCAGGCCGCTTTGCACTCGACCGCTCGCCCGTGTCGCAGCGGCCCGCGCGCCAGGCGAGCTCTCTTCCAGACCCCTCGAGCGTCGCTCCCCGCTCCCTCTTCGACCATCGACCTCCCCCCCCCTCGCCCCTCGCCCCTCCCTCCCTCCTCGACCCTCCCCTTCCCCTCTTTCCCTCGAGGCCGCCCAGAAGCCTCGATCCTCCTCCTCCTCCTCCTCCTCCTCCTCCTCCTCCTCCTCCTCCTCCTCCGCCATCCTCGATCGCACCTGGCGGAGGAACGACTACTTTTTGTACACCCAGATCCTCGCGTACGGCAGGCTCCGGCCCGTGGCCTGGCCTGGCCGCCGCCCCCGCCCGTCTCCCCCGCCCCCGCTCACCGCCGCCCTGCCCTGCTCCGCCCTCGTCCTGCTCGACGGGGCCCAGGCAGGAAGGAGGAGGCAGGGTGGAGGGAATGGGGAGGGAGGAAGGGGAGGGAGGGAGGGAGGGAGGGAGGGAGGGAGGAGGAGGAGGAGGAGGAGGAGGAGGAGGGGAGGGAGGATGGAGGGAGAAGGCAGGATGAGGGATGGGAGGAGGGGATCGCACGCAGGGAGGAGGAATGGGATGGACGGGATGGGAACGGGAATGGGATGGGACCACCGACGAAATCGGGTTATAAGACTTAGGCTTCCTGGCCCCCCCCCGGGGCCTCTACCCCCGCTGGAACGGAATAGGGCGGGGAGGAAGGGGGGGGAAGAGGGAGGAGGGATTGGAGAAGGGAGGCACAGCCTTCAGCGGTCCAGGGGGGCGACCCCGCAAACTTGGGAAACAGGGGGGAGCGACCCCTTCAAGAGAGGGGATTCGCGCGCTGGCCGAGGCGGCTGGCCGAGGCGGCTGGCCGCTCTCCTGCCTCGGGCAGCCTGCCCCGGCGGTGCCGCCTCGTCCCGTGACTTTTTTTGATCCGTGGGTCGAGAGCGAGCCTCTTACGGTCGAAGCTAAGCGGGCCGCGCACAGCTTTAATTGACAGAGGGGGGAAGGCAGAAGGAGGGGCCTCACGTCAAGGCCAAGAGAGGGCAAAGCCCCATCGGTGCCGCCTCGTCCCGGGACAGACCGAAGCATCTCGGCCTCCACTGGGCAGCCAGCGGCCTGGAGTCCCTGGAATCCCGCGCGGAGGTCCCCAGGGAGGGGCGGGAGGGAGGGAGGGGGAGGAGGAGGAGGATGAGGAGGAGGAGGAGGAGGAGGAGGAGGAGGAGGAGGAGGAGGAGGAGGAGGAGGAGGAGGAGGAGGAGGAGGAGGAGGAGGAGGAGGAGGAGGAGGAGGAGGAGGAGGAGGAGCCCGAGCCTCTCCACCCTCACCAGCATCTTTCAGACGGGGGCGCTGCCGCGGAGCGCTGGGCCGCTCCCGTTCGTTCGCAGGCCCTGAGCGAGGCCGAGAGGGCGCGGGCGGAGTTTCTTCTCCAGCTCTGGCAGGGGTCCTCCCAGCTTTGGAAGGGCAGTGCCGCCGCCCCCAGAGAGGCTACAGTCAACCCGCAAAGTAAGGATTTGCGGCTCTCCAAGGCCACCCTCGCATCCTTCCCCCTCGGCCGCTTTCGCTGGCCGCGCCCTGCTCGCAAAGTGTCGACATGGCCTTCCAAGGCCCTTGCATCCTCATCGTGCGTCCCTGAGATACGGGTTGACTGTATCGCGGGCTCCTGCAGGGTTTCTGCTCCGGCGTCTTCCAGGGATCTATCCTGGAGGTATACTCGCCTCGAAGCGCGCCTTCAGCAGCTGCGCCCCGGCGAGGGCTTTCCAGAGGTGCCCAGATTGTCCCCAACGGTCGCCACAGGCTCGAGGCAGAGCCCGCAAGCCAATGCCCGACAGCCCCTGGCCCGGCGAGGGCCGCGGCCTCGTCCTTCGGGAGCCTTGAGACGGTGGTCAATGCAAACGGGGGTCAGCCAGAGCGCCCGATCCTGCAGGATCCTGCACGGCCAGGTTCGCATTGACCCGGGTTTGGGTGCAGGATTCTGCAGGATCCCTCGCATTGACCCGGGTTTGGGTGCAGGATCTTCCAGGATTTTGCAGGATCTTGTAAGGCCCGGCTGACCCGGGTTTGCATCGACCCTGGTCAGCGGATCCCCGAGTCCTCCGACAGCGGCGTGCGGCCGAAGGGCACCGACTCGCGGTACCGCTTTCGGTTCTGCGCGATGTGCGTCGGCGTCGAGCGATGGGGGTGAAGCGAGAAGGAGAAAGCCTTCTTAGAGGGCTGCGGGTCTTCTCAGAAGCCCTGCAGCCTTCGGAGGAGTTTTCCGCGTCTTCGGGGCAGGCTTACAAAACTGCTCAGAAGGTCGGGGGACTGCCGAGCCTTCTGAGAAGGCCCGCTCCTGCTCACCTCCCCCCGGGCTCGCCGCCGAATGTGGCACACCCTTGAAGCCGATGGCCCTTGCTTGCTTGCCTGCCTGCCTGCTGCTCCACCCTCCTCGTCCTGCTCTGCCTCCCCGCTCCTGCCCCCCTCGTCCTGCTCCTCCTCCTCTTCCTCCTCCTCCTCCTCCTCCTCCGCCTCCGCCTCGCGCTCCGGCTCCTCCTCCTCCTCCTCCTCCTCCTCCTCCTCCTCCTCCTCCTCCTCTTCCTCCTCCTCCTCCCTTACCTCTTATGCCTCTTCCTCTTCCCGCCGCCTCTCTGCCTCTCTTTCCCTCTCTCTCGTTCTCCCTCGCCCTTCCCCGCCCGTTCCTCCGCGGGGCCGCGCTCCCGCGCGAGAGCGGCGGTCCCGTCCCGTCCGCCCCCCTCGCCCACTCCGCCGCCACGCTCAGGGCCAAGCCGCGGGAGTCGGACCGCGCGGAGGCCCGCGGGGCGGGGGGTCCCGCGGGGCGCCGCCGGGGGGCGTGGAGGGCCAACAGGCGGGGGAGCGGTGGTCCCTCGTGGCGTGGAGATCCGGGCGATCGCAAGCGTGGATCAAGGGCGCGTGGATTAGCGGCAGCGACGGGTCCCTTGGCATCGCTCGGATGTGTGCATTTTTCCGTCGGCGAGGACCATCGAGGAGCATCCTTGATCATTTGGCGAAAAAGCCACGCACGAAACCGAAAAAAACACAGGGAAGGGACGTCAGAGCGATGGCCAGGTCTCGTTTGCAGGTTTTGTGCCTCCATGTCTGAACTGCTGCCCCGATGATGGTCAGGATAGCCCCCTTGAGGGGCAGCGGATCGGGCGGGCTGCGCGCTGGAAACAAAAAAAACAAAACAAAAAGCGACGGGTCCCGTTTCCGTGGGAGGCCGCGGATCTCCGCCGCCGAACGCGGCGGCACTGGCCCATTTTGGGGGGGGCGCCTGCCCCGATCCAGGTTTGCGCGCCCCCGAGAGATGGTGGGCCTTGGACGCCAGGGGCAGCGTCTCGGGCTCGAGGCTCGCGAGCTTCTGACGGTCTCGCGGGCTCCGGGCGGTCTTCTGCCTCGGGGTGCTGCCCAGGAGCTGCGCCTTGCCGAGAGCGTTCTGGGTGTGCCCGGATCGCCCCGTACGGCCGCCAGAGAGCCCGAGATGTGGCCCGAAAGCTAGGGGCGGAGGGGGGAGAGGCTCAGGGGGGAACGGAACGGGTCGACCCTCAATCGCCCATGGATCGCCGATAGGGGCCCCATGGTCCGCCACGCTTGGGAACGTGCGGATTCGCTATCGGGGGCCCATCGCCGATCTATTGGCGATGTATCGCCGATAACAGCTCGATGTTTCCTCCCGGAGCCCGTCCCCCCCCAGAGACAGTTTTTCCATCCCTTGGCCAGAGCTGGCGTGACCAAAGAGTGGGTAGGGGACCGGTCACGTCACGATTCGCGTCGGCGCCGCCTGGGGATGCTTAAGAATGCCTGCTTCCTAGATGGCGCTGGCGCGACTCGTGACGTGACCAGGTGGGTGTGGGGGGATCGGGGCCAGGCTGGTCACGCGCGTTATCGCGAAGAATCAACGATCGGGCTCCTAAAGTTGCCTCTCATGGACTGGTGGATCGGGTGCGATTAATGTTGCCATCATGGAGGTTGGTCAAACTGCGGATGTCAGCCGCAGTTGCAGTGCGATGCGCCGTGCAATGATGTGCTGAGTGGTGTCGCACCTGCGGTTGATGCCGAGGCGCCGGCATCAGAAGCTTGTCTGTATTGGTACGAGCAGGCCGTAGCATAACCTCGCGGGGGCTGTGGTCTAGGATCGCCGAGCGCGTTCCACTGCTCGCAGAATGCCTACTCGCAGACGTCAGAAAAAAACACCCGTCTGCTCTGACGCAACTTCTCGTAGATCCTCCGCGGGGGTTCCGGGCCATTCTGCGAGTCGTTACTCTTGCGAGTAGTGGACCGCGCTCGTCGATAGGATGCATGTGCCATCCTCCCGAGCAGTGCTTGCGCTTGGCTTTCTCGCTTACGTTTCCGAGGACCTGGGCGGGGGTCCCGAGGATGCGCCGCGCTCCGGCTTGTTGCCGCCCCGTTGCCGCTCGTCGCCGCCCGTGGGGGTGTGCAAGGGACTCGCCGCGCCCTGGCCCGCTGCCGCACGCCGGCGGCCTGCTGCCGCCCGTGGGGGCTCCGCCGAGGACTCGCCACGCTGCGGTCCGCTGCGGCCCGTCGTCGCTGGCCGTTGCCGCCGAGGACTCGCCGCCCCGTCGCCGCCTGAGGCTCCGCCGAGGGCTCGCCGCGTGGCCGCCCGCTGCCGTGCCGCTCTGGGGAATCCCCCCGAGGACTCGCCACGTGGGGCGTCTGCCGAGGATTCGTCACGTGGCCGCCCGTTGCCGCCTGTTGCGCGTCCCCGCATGGCTTACGCTACATATCTTGCACCACATGACTTACACTACATGGCTTGCGCCACGTGTATTGGACCACGTAGCCTGAACAACATATCTTGCGCCCCATAGCTGGCACCACGTAGCTTCCATCGCATGGCTTGAAACACATAACGTACGCACCCACCGTGCAATAGATTAGTGTTTGGGGTCCACGCTGGGTTCACAGAGGGGGAACGTGACGAGTGATATTAGTGTATATATATATATATATACACTATACACATATACCCCAAGCAGTGCGTGCAATTAGGAGTTCTTACTTCTGTCTCTTAAGAAATTTGATGGATGTGTCGGGGTTTCGTTACGTTGTGGGCCCGTGCCGCCTCATGTGCGACTCGTGGATGCACCGCGCTTGGGGGGTATGTCGAGGTTGTGCCACGTTTCCGCCCGTGCCGCCTCGTGGGCGCGTCGTGGGCGCCACGCGCTTGGAGTATTTTTGGGTTTTCGCCACGTTGCCGCCCGTGCCGTCTCGTGGGCCCCCCTGCGCTTGGGGGGTATGCCGGTCTTGCCCTAGGTTGCCGCCCTTGCCGCCTCGTGGGCGCTAGCTTTCACAACAAAGCTTGCACCACAAGGTTCAGACCACAGAGGTTACACCGCATACATTGCACAGCATAGCTTATATGACATAGCTGACACTCCGTAGCCTCCACCTGCCGTTCACATCGCCTATCTTACATACCATGACTGTAAACTATATTACAAAATATAGCTTGCACCACATAGCTTACACCGCATACTTTGTGCCTCCATAGATCACAAGACATAGCTTCACGAAATAGCTTTCACCACACAGCTTACACCGCATAGCTCCACAATGATCTGTACGGGTTCCACGCTGGCTAACACACACGTATATATATATATATGTATCTTTATATATATATATATTTATAGGCAGACATACTTATATTCATTTTTGTGTAAATCTATGCATCCATTTATCTAATGGCCTTGGGCCCAACTCGTCACCGTGCCTGGGTTGTGGGGATGAAGCCTATGGAATGTTCGTTGGGATCTCGTGGGAGGCCTCTCGGGGGATTCTTGGAGGCATTTTGGAGGCCTCTTCGTGGCCGTTTTGTGGTCTGCTTGGGCTTCTTTCGGGCCTCTTGGGGGCCTCTTTGGGTCTCTTTGGGGGCCTCTTGGGGCCACTTGGGCGCATCTTGGGGCCTCCTGGGGGCCTTTTGGGACAGACGGCTTGGATTTTCGGTTCGTGTTCCCTCTCTCGGGCCCTTCTTGGGGCCGTATTGGGGCCCTCTTGGGCGCCTCTTGGGTTGTCTTGGGGCGCTCTGAGGCCGTCTCGGGCCCTCTCGGATGCCTCTTGGACAGTCTTGGGGTGGTCTTGGGGGCCCCTTGGGCCGTCTTGAAGCGTCATAAAGCCGAACAGGCGAGAACGCCCACATCTTTCCCAAACCCAAGAAGCATTATTGATCTTTGCCTTTTAGGGCCCTCTTGGGAGGCCTCTTGGAGGCCTCTTGTGGCGTCTTGGAGGCTTCTTGGGCCATCTTGAGGCCATCTTGGGCGTCTTGGGAAGATCTTTCGGCGACTCGGGGCCCTCTTGGACCGTCTTGGGGGCCTCGAGGGGCCCTCTTGGCCCGTCCTGAGGCCCTCGTGGGCCCGAATAAGTCCCGCGGGGGGACGCGACAAACCCCCGACCAAACGCGAGAAGGCCTGGGAGATTTCGTACTTTGGGCTGCGGGCCCCTTGAAGACTCCTCAGGAGTGAGGACTGAGGCTCAGGGGATCGGACAAAGGACCTGATGAGAACACGCCCACTCCGTGCCCAGCGGCATGTTGGCCGACACATACATACACACATGTATGCGTGTGTGTATGTGTGTGTATATATATATATATAGAGAGAGAGAGAGAGAGAGAGAGAGTATACGACCACTCTTTGGGTGATCACCAGGTTGGGGGGTGGGAGGAACACACCAACTGCTGGCGCTAATGCGATGGGTGTGATGATGACGATGCTCGGGACGCGCCCTCGAGTTAGCGACGATGCGTGATGACGGTTTTGCGCTGCGTTGTAATGCCACTATAGTCGCCGCTTTCGATCTCACTCGATCGACCCCACTATCGACCTCATATGAGAGATCACATTCGACCGATCTCACTATAGATCTCACTACAGATCTCGCTTTCGCTCTCACTACCGATCTCACCATCGATCTCACTATCGATTCCTCTTTCGATCTCACTATCGATCTCTTGATCGATCTCACAACCAATGTCACAATCAACCTCACTGTCGATCTCACTTTTGATCTCACTATCGATCCCATTCTAGGGATCCCAGTATCGATCATTATCGATCTCACTATCGACTGCAGATACCAAGGCGGGCACCCCCCGCCATCGCCCGCCCACCGCCGATGGAACACCGACGGGACACCAACGGGAACCCAACGGGACACCACAGGACACCACGGCGGGACCACCCCGGGCCACCGCGCGCCCACTGGGGGCGGAGGGGCGGTCCACTGCATCCGAATCGCTCTAGCGACGGCGGGGTCATTCCTCCCGCGCGCCCACCCAGTTTCGCCTCGCCCGCACACACGACACGAACACGAAACCGAAACCGGTTTCCCAGTGGGCCGCTCTTCTTTCCCTTGCGATCTCCCCCCCAAACCTCCGATACATATGTCTCTCTCTCTCTCTCTCTCTCTCTCGAGAGAGAGAGAGACATATTCAGAGAAAGAGAGAGAGAGAGAGAGAGAGAGACACGATATGGACTGTTGATCTACCGCGAGAGGGAGAGGGGGAGGGATGTGTAGCGGGAGACTGACAGTTGGAAGTGCAGCGGTCAGGGTTGGAGAGAGAGAGAGAGAGAGAAGGAGGGAAAAAGAAAGAGAGAGAGAGAGAGAGAGAGAGAGAAAGAAAGGGAGATGGAGAGAGAGAGAGAGAGAGAGCGGGGGGGAAGAAGGCATGACCCTCCCTTGCGTCCATTTCCGCTGCAAGGCCGTTTTCTGCGACGCCGTTGCCAGCGGGCTGCGCCTCAACGAGCGTCTCTTCAAGGCGCGAGCGGCGGGATGGCGCTGGTTCCAGATCTCCGACGTCGTGTTTTTCCCAACCAGCCTGTGGTGTTGGGTCCTTGTTTTGAAGAGACAGCGCCCGCGTCCTCCTTCCTTCCTTCTCCTCCCGCTGCCTCCTCTCCTCCCCCTCCTTGCCTCTGCCCTCCGCATGTCTCTCTGTCGGCACACCCCTCACACGTTTCGTGGCCCCATACCGAGCTCCAACTACGGTCCCAGTGGCGGAACTCGCATGCGGTCCCCGCACCCACTTTGGCACACCCTTCACGCGTTTCGTGGCCCCATACCGAGCTCCAACTACGGTCCCAGTGGCGGAACTCGCATGCGGCCCCCGCACCCATTTGTGACACACCTCACACCCTTCGTGGCCCCATACCGAGCTCCAACTACGGTCCCAGCGGCGGAACTCGCATGGCGGTCCCCACACCCATTTCGGCACACCCCTCACACGCTTCGTGGCCCCATAGGGAGCTCCACCTAAGGTCCCAGTGGCGGAACTCGCATGGCGGTCCCCACACCCATTTCGGCACACCCCTCACACCCTTCGTGGCCCCATAGGGAGTTCCAACTACGGTCCCAGCGGCGGAACTCGCATGGCGGCCTCGGGTCATTTCGGCCCACCCCTCACACGTTTCGTGGCCCCATAGGGATCTCCACCTAAGGTCCCAGTGGGCGATTTCGGCACACCCCTCACGAGGATCGTGGCCGAGCTCCCCCGAAGGCGCCAGTGGCAGTGTTCGCATGGCGGCCTCGGGCCATTTCGGCACACCCCATCACGAGGATCGTGGCCCCATAGGGAGCTCCACCGAAGGCCCCAGCGGCAGCTTCCCTCGTGGCCCTCAGAGCCCTCTGGTGCTTCTGCTCCTTGGTCAGGGGGGCGTCGTCCTCGTCGTCATCGGCGCCCGCGAAGACGGCCGCGAACGTGTCCCTGAGCATGTCGGGCTCCGGCGGGGAGCCGTGGCCACATAGGGAGCGTGGGCGAAGATGGTATTCACAATTGTGGTATTCACAACTGCGTCTGGTTGGGTATTTTGCCAGGCTAATTTCACACCGCGGACCCCACAGAGGTGTGTACCCCTCCCCCCCAGGGCCAGTTTCTGGTCCCGATTCGCCTTGCGGCTGTCCCTGGGCCTGGCACGGGCCCCAGAGGGCCGACGATGGCCGCGAACTTCCTGTCGTGGCCACTTCGCGACGAGGCGAGGGGGGGGGGGGGGGGGGGGGGCGGCACGAGCTGGCGGGAGAGCGGTGGAGGAGGCGGCGCCGGGAGGATGTTCAGGCGGAGGGGGCCAGGCACGCCGAGGAAGGGGCGGGAGAAGCATGGCGGGATGGGCAGGGCAGGGGGCGGGCAGGGGAGGGGCGGTCTTGGCATAGGGGCAGGGGGTCCAGAGCTCCGACGGCATGGCGTTGCCCGTGCGTGGACCATCAAGCATGGATCCAGGACGAACAACTACACCCAGGGAAGGGGTCGGAAGGACCTCTGGGGACCGCGCGTTGAAAAATCACCTCGCCGGATGTCTACGGATGGACGAAGAGAAAGGATTGGACAGAACAGGGGGAGAAGGGAGACGGGAGGGGGTTCGAGGCGCGGGAGGATGAAGAAGGCCAGAGGGAGGAAGGCGTTGGGTTGGATGAGACATGATGAGAGAGGGAGGGAGGGAGGAAGAAACGAGCAGGGATGATGGAGTACGCAGCGAGGACGAGGTGGAGGAGGAGTTGGACTAGGACTTGGAGCAGGCGTTGGGGCATGAGTTGGAGGAGGGGGAGGAGGAGGAGGAGGAGGAGGAGGAGGCAGGAGGGAGGAGGGGGGGAGGGAGGAGGAGGTGGAGAAGGCAGAGGAGGAGGTAGAGGAGGAGGAGGAGGAGGAGGAGGAGGAGGAGGAGGAGGAGGAGGAGGAAGAGGATGAGGAGCTGCAGCAAAGCCCCCAGGAGCCTCCGATTGCCCCTGGAAGCCTCCGAGGGCGCACCGAGAGCCATTCGGCAGCGCCCGAAGGCTTCCAGACAACCCTCCACGACGACGCCCCCGAGAGGTTGTGGTGGAGATCCCCCTCCGACGACCACGACTGCGACGACCGGCGACCGACGACGACGACGACGACGACGACGACGACGACGACGACGACGACGACGACGACGACGACGACGACGACGACGACGGCGAACGACGGAGCGAACGACAGAGGACGACCGACGACGACGACGATGATGACGGAGGATGCAGGAGGATGAGCAGGAGGACGACGACGCACGACGCACGACGCACGACGATGACGACGACCTCCACGACGACGACGACGCACGACGACGGTGGTGGCGGCGGCGGCGGCGGCGACGACGACGACGACGACGACAGACGACGGCCGCCTGCCTGCCACGAGGCGCTGGGATGCGCTGTGGGCCGCTCCCGCTGCGCCCAGCTCTCCAAGCTCTCCCGCGCGGAGGCCGTGCAGCTGAACAAGGCCTGGGAACCGGCGGAGGTTGGGAGTGCAGATCGGTACGATCCAAATGGGTGCGGCAAGAATGGGTACGACGAGAGACACCAGATTCTGTTCATGTTGAATACAACTCGCTGTCGGCGTCGCCGCGGGGTCACTTTGAGACAGAAGAGCGCCTGCCCAGTAGCGGCCTCTGTCGGTTTTGGACAACCTCTTCTGTTCGGCATAGTGCCCATTCTTTCCGCACCCAGGTCGGCGGGCGTGCCAAACCAGGGCTGGACCTGAACGGCGTTCTGGCCATCTCGTGGGCTGTTCCGTGTTTCGGTCTGTTCTGCCCTCCAGGCGAAGCGAAGGCAAGACGAGAGGGAACGAAACACAACACGAAAAGCGAAGAACACTGTTTAGGTTCAGTTTTTGGCTTATATATATATATATGTATATGCATATATAAGAAAAATAAAACATAGAAACATATAAAACAAATAAAAGAACACACTGTTTAGGTCCAGCCCTGTGCCAAGCACAGTCCGGCTACGCGCAAGGAGCGACCCTTCGCTGGAGTGACCCTGCTGGTGCGGGCCCATACGGGTCCACCCCGCACTGGCCCGCGCGCCCTTCCTCGGCCCCCCCCCGGAAGCCGCGCACCAGAAGCCTCCTCCTCCTCCTCCTCCTTCTCCTCCTCCTCCTTTTCCTTTTCCTCCTCCTCCTCCTCCTCCTCCTTCTCCTCCTCCTCCTCCTTTTCCTCCTCCTCCTCCTCCTCCTCCTCCTGCCCCTCCTCCTCCTCCTCCTCCTCCTCCTCCTCCTCCTCCTCCTCCTCCCCGTGGCGGGAGAGCGTGGTGGAGAGGGCTGCTGGAGGAGAGGGGTCCCGCACGCGAGGCCACACGCCTGCCCCCCCCCTGGAACAGCTGGGGCCGCCTCGGCCCGGGGCCGCCTCCCGGCAACGCCCCGCGCAGGGCGCAGGGCGCCGCGCCGCCGGGACGCAGTGCCCCGCGGCGGCGCACGGGCAGGGCGGCAGGAGGGCGGCACGAGCGCCCCGCTCTCTCGCGCGGGACGGTGCGGGGGAGCGGCGGGGAAGCGCCGCCCTCCTGCAGCGGCCAGCGGCCTCGCCCGCTGGGTTCCCGTCGGGGCGGCGTCGGCGCGGCGTCGAGGCCCCGAGGGGCCCGTTCGCCCTCGCCGTCTTCGGGGATATCCCGCGTGTGGCCCTCCCTCCTCCTCCTCCTCCTCCTCCTCCTCCTCCTCCTCCTCATCATCATCATCATCATCATCATCATCATCCTCTTCCACCTCCTCCTCGTCTCCGCCTTTCCCCGCTCCTCTTTTTCCTCCTCCGCCTCCTCCTTTCATACGCAGTCGTTGTGGAGCCTATTCGGGAGCAGGAGCACTCAGCAGGCTCGGCAAGGATTGCCAAGTGAAGTTCGCGTCCAATGGAACGCGGCACTCCTGGGACCACATTCTTCGCGGGTAACACCCGAACTCAAAGGTTGGCCCTGCGATCTGTCTGAATGAGTATCTTCCTGCCTCTTCCCTCTGAGTCTCTGGTCGCAGTCATGAAGAATAGAGTGCCTGTCGCTCCCACCTGTCTCCCCCATCTTCAGGCCGCCTGCTTGTGGCATCGCGTCACAGGCTTGTCGATTATTGCATTGTCTGCTTCAATTTCGGGGATCTCTGAGACCCTCCTGGCTCCGGGTTTTCTGTCCATTTTGCCTGTATCTTGATTTGCCATCGGCGCAGGAGTGCCAACAAGACGAGTTCACAGTGTACCGATAAATGATGTGTAGAATGGTGATGGACAGGCGACTGCGCAACTTTTTCATGCTACGCCATCAGTCCGACTTGAACCAGTATGGGTACGCACCCGCATGCGTCCCAAGGCTCGCTCAAACTGGCCCCGCACCGTATCCCTGACATTTGGGCCGTGCTGTTGGGCTTACCCGTGCTATTTGCGTATGAGGGCAACTTTTTTGCCCCTCGGTTGTGCGCGTGCGAGTGCACCGAGGATGATGTCGCCACACGCACTTTGAGGAGCTACGGGCGTGCGCCAGTGGAATAACTGTACGAATTTCCGCCCCATGTGGTTTCAATTTCCCACGGGGAACGAGGAATTCCGGCGTGCCGGCCCATCCGTTATCGAACGGGCTCGCCGTCAATCAGAACTCCCATGACTAACTCCTCCCTGTCGCACCCTGAGGCCAGTTTGGAGGGCGGGCTGGGCGTTTCGCTCGAGACTTCTTTACCATACATGAGCCTCAAGCTGAACAGCAGGCAGCAGTGTCATGTGCAAGAGTTTCACGGATCGAGGACGTGTGGTTTTCAAAATGTGGCTCTCGCCTGAACGCCACGCACATTCGCGCTTAAAACACTGCAAGGAATTTCATTGATTGAGGGCGGGTAGTTTCCAACATGTGGCTCTCGTTTTAGCGCCGCGCACATTTGTTTTAGACAATTGCAAGAGTTTCCCAGATTGAGGGCGGTTCGTTTTCGCAATATGGTTCTCGCCTGAGCGTCGCGCACATTCGTTTTCAAACATTTGCAAGAATTTCGTGGATTGATGGTGGTTAATTTTCAACATGTAAGCTCTCGCCTTAGCGCCGCGTGCACTCGCGCTAAAATTGCAAGAGTTTCATGGGTTGAGGTCGGTTCCTTTTCGAAGTGTGGTTCTCGCCTTCGCGCCGCGCACGCGCGTTCGGAATATCTTCAGAATGTGTGCAGTTCCTTTTCAAAATTACCCCGACAACGCAACCTAACAGCGATGTGTAGGAACATATCTGGAAGCATTCCCCTTAGGATTCAGATGAGAATCCTGTTGTAGAATTCTGCTGTTCTCGCAGTCGTAGTCGCATTCGCGATGACAGTCGCAGTGGCAACGGCAGTCGCAATCACAGCCTCAGCCTCGGCCTCAGCCTGCCTCAGCCTCAGCCTCAGCCTGCCTCAGCCTCAGCCTCAGCCTCAGCCTCAGCCTGCTTCAGCCTCAACATCAGTCTGCCTTCAGCCTCGGCCTCAGCCTGCCTCAGCCTCACCCTGCATCAGCCTCAGCCTCAGCCTCAGCCTGCATCCGCATCAGTCTTGCCTCAGCTCATGCCTAGCCTGCCTCTGCCTCAGCCTCAGCCGCTTCAGCCTCAGGCACTCAGTCATTCGTCGCTCGGCGTCAGCCTCAGGCTGCCTCAGCCTCAGCCTGCATCAGCCTCAGCCTCAGCCTCAGCCTGCCTCAGCATCAGCCTGCCTCAGCCTCAGCCGCAGCCTGCCTCAGCCTCAGCCTCAGCCTGCTTCAGCCTCAGCCTCAGTCTGCATTCAGCCTCGGCCTCAGCCTCAGCCTGCCGCAGCCTCAGCCTGCATCAGCCTCAGCCTCAGCCTCAGCCTGCCTCAGCATCAGCCTGCCTCAGCCTCAGCCTCAGCCTGCCTCAGCCTCAGCCTCAGCCTCAGCCTCAGCCTGCTTCAGCCAAAGCCTCAGTCTGCCTTGAGCCTTGGCCTCAGCCTCAGCCTCAGCCCGCCTCAGCCTCAGCCTGCATCAGCCTCAGCCTCAGCCTCAGCCTGCCTCAGCATCAGCCTGCCTCAGCCTCAGCCTGCCTCTGCCTCAGCCTCAGCCTGCTTCAGCCTCAGCCTCAGTCTGCCTTCAGCCTCGGCCTCAGCCTCAGCCTGCCTCAGCCTCAGCCTGCATCAGCCTCGGCCTCAGCCTCAGCCTGCCTCAGCCTCAGCCTGCCTCAGCCTCAGCCTCAGACTGCCTCAGCCTCAGCCTCAGCCTGCTTCAGCCTCAGCCTCAGTCTGCCTTCAGCCTCGGCCTCAGCCTCAGGCTGCCTCAGCCTCAGCCTGCATCAGCCTCAGCCTCAGCCTCAGCCTGCATCAGCATCAGCCTGCCTCAGCCTCAGCCTCAGCCTCAGCCTGCCTCAGCCTCAGCCTCAGCCTGTTTCAGCCTCAGCCTCAGTCTGCCTGCAGCCTCGGCCTCAGCCTCAGCCTGCCTCAGCCTCAGCCTGCCTCAGCCTCAGCCTCAGCCTGCTTCAGCCTCAGCATCAGTCTGCCTTCAGCCTCGGCCTCAGCCTCAGCATGCCTCAGCCTCAGCCTGCATCAGCCTCAGCCTCAGCCTCAGCCTGCCTCAGCATCAGCCTGCCTCAGCCTCAGCCTCAGCCTGCCTCAGCCTCCGCCTCAGCCTGCATCAGCCTGCCTCAGCCTCAGCCTCAGCCTGCCTCAGCCTCAGCCTCAGCCTGCCTTAGCATTCAAAATGTGGCCCGGGAATGGAGTTCTGGGAACTCGAAGAACACGAAGTGGCCTACAGTTGGCTCCGGGCATTCAAAATCATGCCCAGGAATGGAGTTCTGGGAACTCGAAGACCACGAAGTGACCTACAGTTGGCTCCGGGCATTCAAAATGTGGCCCGGGAATGGAGTTCTGGGAACTCGAAGAGCACGAAGTGGCCTACAGTTGGCTCCGGGCATTCAAAATGTGGCCCGGGAATGGAGTTCTGGGAACTCGAAGAGCACGAAGTGGCCTACAGTTGGCTCCGGGCATTCAGAATGTGGCCCGGGAATGGAGTTCTGGGACCTCGAAGACCACGAAGTGTGTAACTGTTTGCTGAAAACGACTTCCGCGGATTCTCCCCGGCACCTGTCCGGCATCTGCCCAGACCCCCCTGAGGAGTCAAGATGCTGTCTTTTGGGACCATTAGAAACCTATCAGTCTTCGCTGTTAGGTAATGTGGCTCTCGCCTCAGCGCTGCGCACATTCGTTTTACCAGGAATGGCGTTTTGGAGCGATTCAGGGTTGTCAGGGCGCAGCACTTACGTTGATTCGCGGTGTTGAAGTCTCAGGAATGGTGTTTGGGCACGATTTGGGATCGTCAAGACGCAACGTCAGGTTGACTCGTGGCGTTGACGTCCTGAGAATTATGTCTTGGCACGCTTCAGGGTTTCCGCACGGTTGTCCGCTAATGGGGCGTTTCCCTTAGGAATCCTTGTATGGGCTTGTGAAGAGGGCGCTTGAAGGGAGGGCGTGTTCCAACATAGTTTATGTGTCTTGGGTTTGCATTTCTCCTCCT